AAAAAACATTGCTTGGAAAAAGGCTTTTTAATCTTTTCTCCAGCAGCACTAGAGAACACCCAAGTTCTAAAACAAATACCTAAAGGAATTATCAGATTTCTGTATAATTTTTTACGGCGAAATAAAGAGATTTCACTTCCTATAATGACATCCTCTGGAACTTTCTGTTGGAAATAACATTTGAGTCCTACAGACATCCTGTTCCCTGACTATAGTTTGCAAATCTAATCTGACCAGCCATTGATATGGCTGATACATACAGAAAGGAAATGGACTTTCTTTAAATTATTTCAACAACTTTGTTTTGCTGCCAAACTAATAGTATGATTTGATTGCCTGCTTGTATGAATTTTCTTATGGAGTCATCTGAACTTACAGAGTTATTGATTTAAATTTAATTATAATTAATTTGATGCTTACATTGTTTAAATATAATTAGCTCAATGAAAGTTTAGCAAATTTGCATAATAAAAGGCTTAGGGAAGACACATCTTTTCCTTCTGTTTTTATATGAAGTTGTCTATTCTGAGAACCTATCATGGTGTCAAAATCCTAACATCAGAAAAAAACTCAGGAAAACTGTAAATGACACACTTTTGCTTAAAAGCTATTATTTAGTCTTGTTACATCTGCAAAAGAAAAGAAAAATCAGTTCCATCACTAATTTCTAGTCTTAATCAAAACAGATGTGAAAACTGATTAAACATTTACAAAATAGAAATTCTGATATTTCTTTTATGATAATTTTCTTTCACATTGAATCCTTAATAGGTTTCTTTTTCATTTAAGACTTGTAAGGAAATAGGTACGGAAGTCTGTTTTCTTCATGTAACATTATCAGTGCTTTCATTATTAGTCTTGTGAAGATATGAAACAATCCAAGATCTCCACAGTGAACTGAATAGGCAAAAATACAGTTTAAAGACAGAAATTGTTTTGTTTTTTTTTTTACAAATAATGTTTGTTTTTGTTTTTTGTCATTAAGGTCAGTGAATGGGAACCACAAAATCAGAAGTTAATTGCATAAACTGAAATGCATCAGATTTACTTTATATTCTATTTAGTGATTCATAACAATGAGAACTTCATTTAAAAAAAAAAAAAACCACAAACCTGTATCCCAGCTGAACAAAATACTAAAGGCAGCAATTTCCAAGAGGGCTCAGAGCCAAACACATACATAAGAAAGACATGAAAATGTTTATATAAAAGCATAAAAGAACTTCACTTGACTTGCATGACTTTTTGTATCAAGCATGCTACAGCAGTCTTTTGATTCTAATATGAAACTATAGTAAGGATCATTGCACTAATGCGTGAGGATTTGTGATAATGTTGCAGAAATTTTACTGTCAAAACTGAACTGCAGTGTAATGACTTTTGTTATCACGGTTTCTAATAACTATTCAGAATGAATTGACCCTACATATGTTTTACTGCAATAATATGTCACTTATCCTGAAAGTAAAAAAAAAGGAAACGAGAAATCAATAGATTCCTTTCTCCCACATCCTCTGTATAATATGACCTCCTGAACAGAACCTGAATATGAGTGAATTTTTACTTAAATTTTAAACTAATAGTAGTTTTCAGGGAGATTTTTTTAAAATGCAGATTACATGAACAAAAATAATTCTTAAAGTTCTGTTAAACAGATTCAAGTAAATAGTTTGTTAGCATATAATGATATATCCCTATATTTTGGAATCAACCCTAATTTCAAGAGAACAAACTGACGCCTACAGTAAAATCACTAATTTATTAGCAAAATACAATGGAAGTAAAAGATTTCATTCTTGGGATAGGTATTCCAAGATTGCCCAGAATAAAAAGGATATGGTAAATAACTAGTTTTGGTCATCATGCACACAAGTATTTCTGGCACTAGTTTGCAAACCTGTTAACATTTCCAGAACAAATTCAAAAAAGAACATTTGAAACTTCAACCCTTCCAAGTGAATGCTGATACTGCTAGCTAGCTTTTTGATTTCAGAAGCCCAGCAAAAACGTAAAATCTCATAGAATTTGTTAGAATTGAAGAATTTGTAGTATAATAATAGGGTGAAGAAAACAAAGGCAGAAGCGTACTATACACCTGCAAAAACAAGCGTATAACCAGTGCTACATAGTAACTTAATTAATCACGAGAATTGAAGGAAGCAGAAATTGCAGCAAAGTTGAAATTTTTCCATGTGTTTTCCATCAGGCTATAATCTCCTATAGCATGATAGGTAGAAATTTAGACAACAGCAGTGGGATATGAAAACCTTGTCTCAGCCACTGCGTCTGAATAGCAGTATTAAAAAAATAATCCTTTCCTCCTCCAATAGAATTCCTTTGCATTCACTACGCAGAAGAGAGTATTATACTTTCCATGGGCATAGCTCCTCGATTCAGTGGTGTGTATCCTCCCTGTTCATAAGTGCACCTTCCTCAGTACATAGAAGCTTGCAAGATCATGATAAAACACATCATGTTACCAAAGACATTATTTCAGCTATCAAGACAGAGCCTTTTCTGGGGTTGAAGAAAGCAGCTGCATAGGATCCCAAAGTAAACCTACTTCATTAGTTAAAGCAGTTACTACATCCACTTAAAATATGCCAAACAATTTAATATCAGTAGATTGCTTTTAGCATCAGTATTCATAAAAACTAGCTTCTCATTTTGAGTATAATAATATATAGTAATAATATAGCATAGTATAAATAGTATATAAATAGTATAATAATAATAAATAATAATATATATATAGGATACTAAGAGAAGAAAGTCCTCAGGATTTAGGAATGGATGAACACACTTCTTGAAGTCTGCACATTGTAATGCAGGTACGTAGTGCAACACCTAGAAAAATCATTACTGTGATACTCCCTCAGAATTGATTTCCCATTGCAGTTGTAATTCACTTAAAAAAAAAAAAAAAAAAAACTAAGAAGAAAGAACACCTTCTTTTTAAAGGCTCTGTATGTAGTCAGCACCTTCTTTCCCTTTGTCATAACTGCTAAATACACTGTGATAGTGATAGACGTGTTTTGCCTCAATTGCTGGACTAGTTAGTCCCTTAACATAGTGAAGTTATCAGAAAGGAAATTACAGTAGTTGTCACTGTAATTCACAAAATTAATATTCTCAATAGAGTTTCTCGTCTTCGTATATATATTGCTACTAAATGGTACTGAGGACTGTCAGCCTAAATATTCCCATCACTAATTTCTACCATAAACTAGGTACACATGTTGTAATGCTGCTTATGAGCTTCTATAGAATAGTATCATACTCATAACCATTTTCTTCATAAACAAGATTTTAAAAAGCCAAACAAATGATTATGTGGCAGAGCTGATGAAGCTAGATCCTGTTGGTATTGCAATGCAATTTTGCTATATTTTACTATGTTTATTTTATTGTATTCAAATTGAGAAGGAAAAAAGCAATAATATATGCCAACTCATTTGCAATTTTGTTTGCTTCCATATTACCTCACCGAGATGTATGATAATATCACCCACACTGTGTCCAGAAGAGGTAAACTGCTGAGTGGGAAATCTGTTTCACAAATATTACCAAGAACAATTACATCCAGAAGGCATTCTTATATCCAAAGAAATTGAAAGTCCAGATTACCTAACACAGATATATTTTTCTTTAGAAAGCATTATAGTGAGTAGGCCCTAATTTCGTATTCAGAAAAAATATTTTCAATTCCTTCTATAACCCACTCATGCTAAGAAACATCTCAGTGCTCATAGCTTTGCCTTTAGATCATATTTAGGGAGCATAATTAGCACTTGCTTGGTGATGAGAAATAGAATTTCTTCAATTATTTATGTTTTGTTCTTCAACTTGTTCTCCAATACTCTTATCTCTGGGAATTTATGACTTAAACATATTTTTGTTCTTGAAATATAGAAAGGTGCATAGTTAACAAGAATACCTTAGAAGGAACAAATTGAAATTCAAAGTATGCTGAATTTCAGAGTCAGAGATTTACTGAGGTGGTCTGTGGGAAATGAGTAATGGCTGAAGATACAGGTATAGGACATAAGAGGGACTAAGGGGACTAATACAAGCAAAGTACTACTAATAATTTGAACTTCACATTTCATTTATTTATTTGAAAACTTCTTCACTGCATTTTTAGAAAATGAACTGAAATATTAATATTGACAGGATCTGACTTCTGCATCCATGACCAAAGTTAATAAACATTCTTACCTGAAACTGTTGACATTAACCTACAATTTTTGTACATGATTACTTACATGTGTATTAATTTTCAGAAATACAGACATGAAAGACAACCAAGCAATAGTCTGGTTAACATACCTAGATAATATTTTTGATTTAGTTATAGTTAGTGCTGATATAGTCGATGCTCATTCTGAGATCTATAGATGCAAAGAAAAAAAAAGAAAAAACCATTTGAAAATGGTTTTACAACATCTCGATTTACGTTAAATTTAAACAAAAAGAAACCCTATTCAAATGTAACTAATTATTCAAGAGAACATACCTCAGCAGTATACCTCCACCATGGAAGTTATCAAACTAGATTTTAAGTTTTTTTTCATTTTCATGTATATGTTTTCTACATTAAACGTTTGCAGTGTCTGATTATAGCTGTTGTAAAGCTCACAATTCCCCTGAAAGACTATTTGATAGAAATGCATAACGTTAGGGTGCTGGATACTATGCTGAATAATACAGTTTTGTACAAAATAAATACACTCCAGGTTTAAAAAAAAAAAAAAAAATAAATCAGAACTATGGCAATGAATAATTAATACCTTATATAACAGCTCTGTAAAGTAAAAAACAAAACAAAACAAAAAAACAAGCAAGCAAGCAAAGAAGTGAAAATATAAAAAATGCTCAAGAAGAAAAAAAAATACACATGATAGTTGACATATTGCTAGCATATATTCCATTGGCATTATTGATCAAATGCATTTTAAATAGGAAATACATTAATTGAATGAGTGATGTTAGCACTTTACCTGCTGATGATCTCTAAATGAATCTTCCACCTTGATTCTACTGTCGTAGAGTTCTGTGAGACCTTCTTTACAGTTTAGGTAGCATTTCTGAGACATTTGATATTCCTTAGCTAGCAACAGATTTTCTCTAATAATTTGCTCCAGATTGGCCTAAAGAGAAAAGTAATTGATTACACTCACTACAAAATGCCCTTCTGAGAAACAAAATTACAGTTCACTTCCACAGTTTCTTTGACTCATTCCCTCATGAACATCTCTAAAATATAGATAAGATTATGGTTTCAGTGAAACCAATAAGAAATCTACAAATGATTTCACCGTGTTTAGAATTTTGCTAAAACACTTATACTGAAATTAATACTATTAAAAATTAAAAATTACTAATTAAAAATTAAAAAAACATTATTTTATCAGGAAAATAAACCAAAATAACGTTTTAAAATAGTTACAATAGAAACTACTAGAAAAAAAATACTCTTCTACCTTACTACATAAGTCCTCTTTCTGTATAAAAATTATTATTTTTTTTTTAAATAAATAATTGTGAAGTTTCCCAATCGTAATTTGATTGACTTGATTTTAAAGTCTAATTTAATTATCAGCCATCATGGTTCGCTACCAGGTGAACTGTTTGGTAAGTGTGCTTCCATAATCAGACGAATTTCCATTGTTTTTCAAAATGATCTCTGAATTTCCTGTAATTATAATTCATGACTTTGCAACAGTTGTAGAATTTTCTAAGGTATTTTATCTAAGTTACACAGACAATCTGATTTAATTTAAAATTGACTTACATCAAGGAATTCTGCTTTCATTTTTATTTTTTCATAAAAACATGCAATTTATGAGAGTGAAGCCCAACTGGACTTATCCATAGTTAGATGAATGAAAATTTCTTCTAGCTTCATAAGTACAAAACAGGATGCCTGATCTCCACTTTTAAAAATATTTTTTGAGATATGCTTTAAGTGCATATCCCTAAAATGTATTTTTAAAATAGGATAGCGAGTGAAGATGATACCACCCACTAGATAGGAGAGATGCACAAGGAAGATCAATGGGCAAGCTTAACGCTTGTTAAATTTATGTAAGCTGTTGCCTGTTGTATTTGGGAGGTACTTCTGTTAAATTCAGATGCACATAATAAAGTGGAGGAGTACAGGACGGCTTACAATTATGTACAAGTCTGGGCCATCTAATTAAACCAAGATGTCTGTATGAAGAATGGTTGCCGTAATCTAAGGCAATATTTCAAAGTCTTATAACACAGAAGTTTAAAAGTTTAGTCTAAAAGTTTCTCAAGTTAGAAAAGTATGGTTGAAAACAAGTTGAGTTTTTATGATTTTTATGGATGATTTGTAATGCTATGTGTTATGGAAACCCTTGCTGAAAAGCAGAGCTATCAGAAGAGGTAGAGCAGTTGGAACAATGCCACCATAAGGTGCTCCCTGAATGGAGCCTCTCTGTCCAGCAGGAGAAATGGCAGCCCTCTGATTTGACAGTCAGAAACCATCAAGTAATGGCAATGCCAAAATCCAAAGAAAGAGTTCGTAAACCATTGTAGTTGCATTTCTGGTAGGAGAATACTACTCTGGTAGTATTCAGCTGTTACTCTTTTCACTTCCCTGACACTTCTTCCCTTTGACAGAACACTGTGCAAATCAAAAGATACACGTGAGGCAGAAAAGAAATATTGAGCATAAAGAGGTTTGGATTTATTTTCTCAGATCACTGGTTGATGGTTCAAGTCATTATTTATACATGAATACTAAAAGAGCCAGACTCTGTTGCAGCTAGTCAAGCTCTATTTGGAAGGGCAACACAAACGCATGAGCTGGGACCATTCTAAAAATCACCAATGTTTTAGATACAAATCACCATATGTTATAGATACAATTTTGCCCAGAGCCAAAGAAGACTAAGGACTTTCAATAAAATGCAAGCCTTGCTTTAATATCTTCCCTGATTTATTTTTTTTAAATGTATTGAATTACCGGACTAATAAAGTCCCAGTTCTTCTGGGTTCACAGTGTATAATGCTGAAGAAGTCTCAAGTTTTTTGAGTTTACTCCCTAGAGAGTAATTTGGAGTCTCACTTTTTAAAGACAAAGCTATCCAAGGGAAATGCCTGAACAGATTCACAGCTATCCCACAGAGCTGCTTTGAATTCCGGAGTTCCCAAGACAGTTAGCCTGCTAACAACTCTTTTTTTTTTTTTTTTTTAAATATGCAATGTCTTAATCAAGATACATTTACTTTTCTATCTATATTTATACACATTTTCAGAAAACTTATGCTAGAAAATTGCCATGGTTATGCCATGGTTATTCTTCTGTGCAGAACCGTCACTCTGTGTGTCATTAAATACTAAAATGCTATGCCATCTTCCAGAAATCTCAAGCTTTTTTTCAAGCTGATATTTTCAAAAACAAATATACAATGACTGATATTAATATACTGACATTCAGTGCACAAAACAAGTACTGTTTTCAACATTGACAGCATCTTTGCATACATAAGGAATATTGGGAAGTCAAAGAAAAACCTGTTTCTGGAATATTAACATCAAAACTTGTTTCTGGAATATTAACATCAATACAGTTATTTGCCTCAATACATACATACCTGAGACTAACCTAGTAAAGTCCTACTGTTTTGTTTTGTTTTTCATATATAACTTAAAATGATTCAAACATTTTGACATGAAAAAGACATATTTATGAGAACTCCATCTTCATGGGAGAGAGGAACGATCAAACTGCAACCAAATTTGGTATGTTTCCTATTCTAGCAGAACAGGGATATGAATCTCAAGATTTACGATATAGTCAGATAGATATGTAAGTAGGTAACCATTGCATTTGATACACCTCTGGTAGCTGAGCTTCTGAATTTGAAGATTTGCTAACTGGTAACAAGCCCTAAGATTCTTGTCTTTATTCTCCTTGTCAAAATTTGAAACCATATACTACTTATGATATGCTAGTCTTCACCAACAGGTACATTTGAGCTCTTTGGACATTCAGGAACTGATGTGCAAAATACAGAAAAAATACTTTCTACATTTCTCCATTAAATGAAGTTACTTTCTTCAGTGAGAAAAACAAGTAGAATTCAGAGGAATTTCCTGAAGGCTCTTACATGAAATAAAACTTGAGTCTCAAAAGCAGATAAAACCAGATGAAACCTGAAAATATCATAATAAAAACAAATGAAGGAAGGTATTTCTTTGCATTTTCTGTAGCTAAGGTGTGTGGAGCCTTGTGAATACCAAAAACATAGTTATTAAAAAGAGACACAAAATATCTACTGTGGATTATTAAATTAAAAAAATTGCAAAAAAAAAAATGCAACTGAATATCTTAATGTTGGGGAAATATTCAGGAGAGGAGATTACAGCCTTCTTGCCCTCCTGCTATAGACAACCTGGGTAAGTGGTATCAGAGGTGGAATACTGGGTTAGATAAAATGTCTACCTGATCCAACACATACTCTTTTTTCCTCAGTATGTCCTCTTACTCAACATAACAACTTAATTTCTATCTTTCTGGAACAGTAGGAAGCTGAAACACTTTTCTGTGTGTGCTGAACACAGTGGTTTTCCTGTCTGCCATAACACAAACCCACACTAAGACAATAGAATACATGGAAGAGAAAAGTAGGAGAGACAAACGTTTCCCCAGACTTAAAAAAAAAAATAAATACATAATTGTCAGCATAATGGAAGTTCAGCTGGACAATAAGGAAGGAAATGCAATGCCAAGCAACATGAATTATCAGTCCAGTATTTCAGGAGATATGGAATTCATTGCAACAAAAAGCTCCAAATAAAGATCACTACTAGCCTTGTCCAACTGAGAAAAAACTGGAACAAAAAAAAAAAAAAAAAAAAAGAGTGAAAATGAACGTTAAAGACAAGTAAGGGAAACTGCAACTTGGTGTCTGCAGCACAGAGAAGATGCATTTCATGTTAGTCTTCCATTCTTTTATATACATCAGTATCAATCACTTTGTGTTGCAAGTGATCCAAGAATTATTTTATTGATCAGTTTTTGTGGCAAAAGTTTGTAAAGGATTGTGGAGAGAAACCTTAGGATCAATGAATTTGTCCACATAATGATATACCAATAAACATGATATAAATCCCTGTAGTTAACAAAGTCAATCATCAATTTGAATGTTCACTTCAACAGTGAACATTCACAGCAGAGCTTTATTGAAAGATAAGAATAATTGATTGTGACAACCAGATGCATCAGCACAATTAACCAATTATTAAGGGATCTATATTCATCGGTTATACTACCTAAATTAAATATTTTGAAGATTTCCCCAAGCAGGAATGACTATTTTTTTGTACACAGGAATTATCCTTTTTGCACAACAACCCAGAATATGAATTGCAAAAAGAAATTACTTAAAATTAGTTGTTCATGTGCATCCATCCCTTTAAATCCAAAGAGCTTCTTCAGTAGAGTTAGTTGTGTTTTTCAGTAGCATCTATTACATATATATGTCCTTTTCTCAGGGCACAGTGAGAATGGCAATTCCAAGTGCCTTACAGCCAGCACAGTACAGATGTAATACACCTGGCAAATCTCCCTGCTATGAAAAAGGAAGTTACTCGAAAGCAAAAAAGATGCGGGACTTTTTTTTCCCCTGCCCATGTTGTTACAACTAATGCTTACCAGCAAGTACTTTGGGTCCTACAAGTCACAGAAACTACAACAGAAGGTACTAAGAAACTAATTTGAGTACTGATACACACACCATACCTGGGATTTTCTACTGATGTTGCCGGTTTGCAATTTATGCAACAAGGATCGTGCAGCTACTCCATAAATCTCTAGCACTGCAATTCTTTTAAAGGACACTGCAAGCATCTGAGCCTGCTTAAACAAACTATAACATGAGTCAGGGAACTTATGCTGTTGATATTATATACTGATCTAATACGTATTTTAATGGTCCCTGAGCTGAAATAGATCTTCCACTGTATCTGATACAAAACACAACTAACAAACATTGCTCAGAGTTGCTGAAACGAATATTTATTCTGAAATACTTTTTTTTTTTTTTTTTTTTTTTACACAAACACAGTATGAATTTGTGCTTTATAATGTTTGGATGGCATCTTAGAAAATTAAACT